ACCCCACTGATGTCTCTGAGATTATAAGTGACCCTGAAAAAGTAAGTGTAGAGGATGAAGACCCTGCTCTAGAACATAATGCTGAAGAGAGGCCAACGTCTCACCCACCTGTACAAATAAGGTGTGAGGGAGAGTCAACCGAGCCACAAAGGCCAATAGGCTTTTGTAAGTCGATGCCAGTTTTGACAGTAAATTTTGAAGAGGAGGGTCTTGTAAGAACGCACCAGTCATCTGAGAACTTGGTTACCCCAGACCATTCTAGGACATCACAAAGTACAGAAATCAGTGTTAGTTCAGGCATGAAACCAGTTTTGCAACAGCTGTCTTTATCTGTTCAGTCAATCAAGCGGGTATTGAGTCAGACCCGCTTAACACCTCTGGAAAAGGAAAAGTCCAATAGCCTCCCAGACTTCTCATCTCAGGTGGCCTCTGCCTTTGGTTCTCCATCCAGAGCTTTTCTGTCCTTCTTGTCCCTGATGACTCTGAGAGATGGCCTTTCAGTCCTCTACAGAGAAGAATCTCAGGCCAGCAACCCCAACATCTGCCCAGAGGCCCTGCAGGTAATGCAGTCCTTGGAAAAAATATCCAATATTAAAGATGAGGATGAGCTAAAGGCCAGCTTAACCAGTCTTCAAAGTTCAACTTCATCCAAATTAAAACAAAGCTGGAGAGATTTCCAAGAGCAAAATGGCTTTGGAGGGAGTCCACCACTCTCACCCAAACTATCAGAGCAAGAGTTTGCTGTAGAAGTAGACTCAGAAGAAGAAACGGAGGATCAAGGCAAACAGAAAAGTTTTAGTATAGAACAGTTACTGGATGAACTGAACATGCCTGAAGATCTTCACAAAGAGATTTCCTCACTTGTTGAAGGAGAAATAACTTATTTTAATCAAACAGACTTAATCAAAGATGCTGGTAACACCAGTGAAATCTCAGATACAGAAAAGAAAAATGACAGTGGCTCATTGAGTGGTAGTTTAAAGAAAGCTGCTGACATGGAAGAGGTAAAGGACCATGATGGCCAAGTCAGTGACACAACCAATGATGACATAACCAATGACCCAAAAAATCCTGAGTCTCAGGAACTAAATTTAATTCAACCTCATTCCCCTGACTCAGAAACTATAGAAAAGGACCTTGGTAATGAAGATTCTGGCATAGCAGTACCCAATCAATCACCTGAGGCTAATGGTAGTGATTCAAGTAAAGCAGAGGTTTTAGAAACATCTGATAACAACCAGATGAATGCAGAGAACATGCAAGAAAGTATGATGTATGAAGACCTAGAATCTGAAAACAAAGATGCAAAAGAAAATTGTTCCCCCACATCAGAACGAAAGATGATAGATGTAGTTGAAGAAGTTGTTTCTGAGCTCTCTGATGACCAAGACAGGATTTCTGAAAGTGAGGACAATATAACTCCAGAGAACTGTGTAGACAATACTGATATTGAGGAGGAGGACATCATCCAGAACATACAAGAACCTAGTAAACAATCAGATACTTCAGAACCTGACGACACAGATGCCAACTGCTTATGTTCAGCATCAGAAACTGAGCGTGTGCCATTTCCAGACAGAGAATTAGCTGAGCTAAATGAGGAAAATCAGTACAGTACAGCTGATAACTGTGTCAGAGAGCAAGCTGATCATTCTTATTTTGAGGAAACCAATGGTGATAGAGGACTAGAACAAGAAACCAAATACATCTTATCAGAACGTGAGTCCCTTCACTCAGAGCCCTCAGAGACGTCATTGCCTCACCATGATACAAAGGGTGATTGTACAGATCAAACATTAGAATCATCTAGTCAAGAAGATGATCAGGTGATGTCTCCAGATGCGGATCATCAAGAAGATTCTACTCCAGAGGTTGCAGAAGGTGAGGATTCTGATCCACACTACAATAAAGGCAGCCCTCAACAAGGTAGTAATGATGATAATAGAATGACTCCTGAAGCTGAAAATGAGAAAACACAAATTAAAGAAGAACATGACATTAATGAGGTGGATAATGAGAGCTCTGAAGTCTGTGAAGAAACCGATCCAGATGCTGAACCAGACTCTTGTACAGTAAATGATCCTGAGGCTGTAGATGAGAATGTGACAGAAAAAAAGTCAAGTGATTCTGAACCCTACAAAGTTCAGACTTTAGAGAAAGGTAGACCCACCGATAAAAAGGACAGTTCCACTGAAGAGCGCAATTCTGAAGAGGATGAAGAGAACTATTATGGCGGTTTGCTTGATTCTCATAATAATAATGTGAATGGTGTTCAACACTCTATTGCATATACTGATTCTAAAGATTCACTGGAAAGGGAGTCATGCAGCAGTACTGGTAGAAGTGAGCACCAGTTTGAGAAGGAAGAGAGTTTGGGAATGGAACATGGATATAATTATCTAACACATCCAACTGAGATCTCACAAGAGCTTTTAGACTTAATCAATTCAGCTTTGTTGTCCTCTACCCTGACTGTCACATGTGATTCAAATGGTAACCGCAGAATAGAGCCAGACAAATGCAAAATGAGGGAGATATTCATGGCTTGCCAAAAAAAAGATGATCAGTACGGTCAAAAACGTCTCCCGAGCCCTAATACATCAGATCTTTCTGATTACAGGCCCGAGACTTCTGAAAATGGTGGATACCAATCGCAGGAGCTTTTTACAGAGAGTGGAGAAGAGGAGGTGGAGAGGTTACGTGTCTTTCGAGAAATTATAAAACAAAGCACAGAGAAGCCAAAAAGACAAAATGTAAAAGAGAACGGTCTGATGAAATCATCTACATGGACGCCAACAAAACACACTCCCAGTACAAGTTTAAAAAGCAGTAGCCTTGCTTCTTTTCCGGATGCTAAAAGTGCAATACAAGAACCACTTTGCCACAGTAGATTGCCTAGTGATAAAAGTTCACTTAATGAAGAGTCTGTACAGCACATGACTTTAAAAGATAATGTGGACTCTGGAGACGGAGTGCTGATTGATAAAGGAAGGTGGCTTCTCAAAGAAAACCACCTCATCCGAAACTCACCTCCTGTGTCTATGGGAATGTATGGGAGTAGAGACACCACATCAGCTGACACAGCTCAAGACAACAGGAGTGTGGATTCACCCTGCCTGAATTGTGAGAACCAAGCCTCACCTCTGGCGGTTATATCCTCTTCAGAGCTGGAGGACATGGCTAAGCCCCCTACACCGAAGTGTACATACTTCAATATTTCACATTGCAGTGACTCTGATCCTCTGTTGGATGCCAACAGTGTCAAAAGTAGCAGCAGTAGAGGGGATGCTAGGAGGAACAAGGAACCTAAGGTATCTCCAATGGGCGAGTCTTCTAAAATGTGGGCAAAGAAAAATGGAAGTATGTCTTCATTCGCATCTGTTGAGTTCAAACTGCCTGATGGAAAAGTTTATCCTCAGGAGGGGTCAGGATCTGGTAATAACAGATCGAATCAAGACACTCAGGCAGTACGAGAAGAGGAGTCCAGGGAGGGGATAAGTTTCAGGTGTGGGCAGCACTGCCCAATACTATAGTTCAGCCCGTTCTCATCCTTTAGCGTCATATAGAACGCTATATGCAAAAACGGCGCTATACTACGCACATGGCACCCTTTATCGTTAATATAACACGCGAACCCAAGACGTTATAAATCCTTTAGCGTGAATATGACACGCACACCCTACCCCACACCTAAACTTAGCCCTCACAGCGTGTGTTATATTAACGATAACGGGTGCCATGTGCATAGTATAGCGCCGTTTTGTCATATAGCGTTCTATATGACGTTAAAGGATGAGAATGCGTTGTATAGTTCAAAAGGGAAAATATACCAGACACAAGAGCTGCTGGTATTGTCAGATTTCAGTTATTTATAGAGGTTTATATGCTTAAACTGTCTGAACAGCACATGTAAGCACTGCAGTAATGAGACTTTAATTTTCACACTTGGGTGCCTGCTGGACATTAAGCTTTCAGTTATAAACATTTGAGTGTTTTAAACGGTTTTAGGCTTTTTCAAACATGTCTTTTCATTTCACAGGGGCTATATTGCACAATTGAACTGATTTACTTGAATTTATTGAACTTCCTAAGTGGTATTTGTTGTTGCTCTTTCTAATGTGGGCCTGTATCTTATTTGAATAAGATGTAGAAAAAAAAAAAAAATCACATTCAGCCCCAAAATATGCTTGATTTTTTTGTTTTGTTTTAGAGGTGTAGGGACTCTGGCATACTAATATAATAATAATAATAATTATTGTTATTATAAATAAAAAAAAACAGGTAATGTGCAAGTTTAAAACAACATGCAAAATACCCTTTTGAAGGGTGGTCTGCTGAATGATCTCTCAAGATGTGTTGCCTCACTCTTTGAACCACATTTCAATGTGGATATTGAATTAAATCCCTAAATCATACATTATATATAGTGATTGCTGTTACTTTAATTAACGTCATGTGGTTAATAGGAAGTGTGTGAACAATGCTCAGTTTTCTGGCATTTTTTTTTTTTTGGTAAATTTTGCACAAAAATATCAAACTGACGAAACAAATATTTATGTTTTGTATATAGTTTGTTATTTTTTAATGCAGTATTAAGATAGCACAATATCCTGGGAAAGTGCACAATTAAAAAAAAATATGATTGTGCATGATAGCATGTCATCATTATCACATTAAATGTGATTATTTTTATTGTGCTGATCACTCAGAGATCAAATAAAATATACATTAAGCACCTCTACAAAGGATACATCTTATTAAATGGTATGCATCAATTACATCGATATAGGTCTAATATATTTATTTCAAAAGAACACAAAAGCTGTTGTTAAAGGTGCTATATGTAACTTTACTTCTAAAATGAATCCTTTTTTATTTCATGTGTGTGAAGGGCTTGTAATCACACATTAAAATGATCCAATTGTCGGAATTTGCCATTGCCTCTGAAGGCCAGTATTCCCATTTCTATGTGAAGTCTCCGGGTCGGATTTTCTGCGAAATCCATCGGATGTGCCGTGCATGCGCTCCCGAGCCTCTCTCCTTTTCATATACAGTCTATGCGACGGCACTGCAGCTAACGACGCGGAGTCTGATAACACCAAAAAACGGCCTGCCTCCAGCACAACACAGACTCCAACACAAACTCCATGTAAATATAAAAAAACTAAATAAAAATGTATCTCCTGAAACTCGTCAGGCCAAACGTGAATCGGATCGACTTAGGATGAAAACAAGGATCAACATCGGCAGAGCATTTGAATTATGGAGAGACCTCTGCAATTTTTTTGTGATAAATTGAGTTTTCAGATATGCTGAAATAATGGTAAACTGTAACGAAATAGCAAGAAAAACCACAACATATAAGGGACATGAAATGAACACAAAAGACTGTTTCAGGATAATAAAAAGTAGGTGCTTCAGGATTTAACTTTTATTTAGATCTACTGTCAAATGTGACTCATCCCACTACTATCATATTGTTTATAATACACATTTCCAGACACGTTTAGTAATGTTACAATCTTACTGTTACACTGAAATTGTTCAGTCTAGTTCACTGACCGTTTTCTTTATCATATTCTACAATCACCTATGTTGACATTGCTGATTGTGAAAGATATTTTTATTGTAACGTTGCAGTGGGAGTTTACATGAGTTTCCAGCATGTTGTGTGATGCTTTCTCCGGTGTGTTGAAAGTCACGGTGTGGCCGTGTACCATGAGTGCTCGCTCGTGTTCGCGCAAGAGGACGAACGCTCTTGTAAAACTTGGTTGCAATCTGAAACATCACTGATAGAGGCCACTAAAAATTACATATAGCACCTTTAAATATACATGGAGACATCCTCAACTGCTTGGCATAGGCTAATTGAAACTCAATGTAGCTACACACAGATCAGATTTAACATGTTTTACAAACAGATCAGATAAAGACCAGAAATCACCAAAACACATTAAAAAGAGATGTAGCAGGACTCATTCTGAGGGTTTGTGGATAAGAGGACAAATTAGCTTGGTTCCCACAAAACTGTGTCGTTAAGCAGAGTGGTGGTTAAGGAAAAATTGAACAGCTGAACTTGACTTTAATGTCAGTATATGGGAAATGTTATGCTTGCCATATAATGTGATTGCCTATATCAGAACCTAGACCATTTTGGCTGCTATCCAAAAGGTTTTGATTTAATAATGCAAATGGTGAGCTACTTTTTTTTTTCTCTCTTTTTTTTTTTTTGCAAGAATGGAAAATAATTATTATTCCATTTGGACAAACGTGTTGACATTTAACTTTGAAATAAAAACATGGAATTGAAAATTAAATATTTGTTGATGAGATTTGTGTCATGGCATTTTGCTTGGACATGAATTGTAATTAATAATAATATAAATAATACAAATATTGATGGGTATACTGAGTTGTTCATGTATAACAAAGAAAATTCCACTCATTGCGCTCCATCCCAAAGAATACCTAACATTTTGCAGCTGAGCTCCCAGAGTTTCTCAGCCATTTCATCATCTCTAGCAGCTCTGGTGCATCTTGAAGGTCTGCAGTTGCTATAGAAAATGAGTAAGGAATAGAGAGGACAAACAAAAAAACAAACACAAAAATTAATTCAATTTATACGCCGGTCAATTTATATGTGACGAGGCCTCTGCAACTTTGTTACCTGTAGTAACCGCCACTTTCTGTGTCTAGTTCTGGTTGTACTGCGCAGTAGATGGTAGTTTGTGCTCCTTGCACTGGGGTCTTTGTGAAAGGTCTGACAACTTTCCACATGATTAGAAGTCCGAGATTCATGTGTCTTTTAAGTTCTGTTCGCACAATTCCTGGATGGACTGCATATGCTGTGACACCTGTGTCTGCGGATAAAATGTGATGATAGATCAAACAGTACTCCCAAATTTGCCCTATTACCCTTTAATTTCCCCATTTATTTAATCTTCCGTATTTTTAATGAACACTTACCCTTGAGTTTTTTAGCCAAGGAACGGGTGAAAAGGATGTTGGCCAATTTACTCTGACCATATGCCCTCCTACTGTGGTAATTCCTTTCACTATTGATATCATCAAGTGTTATAGTGCCCCAACTATGAGCCATGGAGGAAAGGTTGATGATTCTTGAGGGCGCAGATCTCTTTAGCAGATCAATTAGCAGGAAGGTTAACAGGAAGTGACCTAAGTGACATCAATTATGTCTTACATTTATATTTACTATACATTTATGAGTTTGCAGGATTAAATATGCAGCAAGACAGGATTTTAAAGTTGGAACAAGATAGTTAGGATATGCAAAGGCACAATATTGTTCAAACATGCATAATAATGTTAAAATATAACATTAAAGAAGCGCACAGAGGTCTGAATGAACAAAAACTTTACACTTTACCCAAATGGTTGACACCAAACTGCATCTCAAAACCATCTGCTGTTTTAGAGTAGGGACACATCATGATCCCAGCATTGTTAATGAGTATGTGGAGTGCTCTCTCCTCTGAAAACGAGGAAGAAAAGAGGACTTTAAAGGGGTGGTTTACTGCTTTTTTTCTTTGCATGATTGTGTTTATGGGGTGCAATATAATATGTATTTGTGTTTTTTTTTTTGATAAATTTCACCTTTATTGTAAGCCGTGTTCTCCTCTGTCATTTGAACGACCGGTTTACTTCCTGATTCTATGAAACCACTCCCTCAAAAACAGGCAGTGGGCTCAGATTGGTTAGTTTGGGCTGGTGTGTTGTGATTGGCTAAATTGTGTAGTGCATTTTGTCCGGATACTTCACGCCCATTACCTTTATTTATTTATAATTGTGTTGATACTGCAGTACCAGTATGAGCCAGAATCAGACCCAGAAAGTAGCGATGAAGAGAGTCAAGCAGAACCTCCCTAAACACGGCTCTTACAAAATGTTTCTGAATGGTAATTTGCCTATAACTTTATACACGTTTGTTTTCGAACTGACTGGCTACTGTATACACAAACAGCGTTGACATTGGTTTACGTTCTTGATCAAATTGAAAAATAACATCATAAAGTATTTACATACATGAAAAATACATTTACAAAATTCCAAACAGGTCCAAAATGTTTGTACGCGTTCGTCGTAGACACAAAATAGCATAACTAAGTGGCTAATCGGATCCAGAACTCCTCCCACCTTACATATACCTAAATCTACCCAGCTCCACCCCCTGATCACTAAACCCACTCCTAAACCTACACAAGTCCACCCCTCAGATCTGGATACAACTCCGCCCACTGGATCTCGTGTACTGCAATGAGGTGCTATACTGGAAATCGCAATCAACCACCCCTTTAATTATATTTTTTTTTGTAGTCTGTTGTAGGAGGCACATTGGTATTTTTCAAAATTGTTAGATCAAATACACTTAATCAGATTTGAGTGTAACTGTAAAACTCTTACCATTGCTGATTACCTCAGCAAATTCTCTGATTGACTTTGTGTCAGATAAGTTTAGTTTTTTTATCACTATATTCTGGTTCCCCGAGTCCTCCATGATCTCTTTACGTGCTCTTTCTGCTTTTTCAAGGTCTCTGCAAGCCATTATTATCCTGGCCCCTGTGGAACAACCATGACTTTTATCATTGGTGTCCAAGAAAGATAAATTTGTGTACAATACATTTCATTTTTTTAGTTGTTTGGGAACCGCAATTGAGAAGACAAAAAATAAGATAAATGTGATACCGCGTTTTGCAAGGTCTCTTGTGGTTTCTTTTCCAATGCCAGTATTTGCTCCAGTGATAATGACTGTTTTGCCATCGAGTCGTGTATTAGATGACCACTGGCCACTGAAAAGTTCTCTGTAAGCAGAAATATATTTAAAGGGCAATGTACAAATGTGTACTTCCTTCAAGAATCATTTATTAACAAGAGATAGAACAAATAGTGAATAGAAACGGAAATCACAATAAGTGAATGAGTAAATGACTCAATGAAAAAACAAACAGTATTTAAACAGTGGCAGGTCCTATCTGGTCTTAATGAGTATGTAAAATAAACAATTATCAAATTTTTCTGAACTAAACCAAAATATCAATCACTGTTGCAAAATAAATAAAAGTTAGACTTAGAGTATAGGCTTATATCTTTACTGCTATTTTAGTTATAACATTTGTGCGTTTACTTAAAAAAAAAAACAGAAATGATAATTATAAACCTACCTCAAAGTGTATATGTTGGGCATCTTGCTCAATGCAAATATGCTCTAAAGACAACACATGACTTCCCTCTGGAGTTGTTCACAGAAACGGCAATAAAAGACAATGCATTGTTTAGCATGAGCCACATGCAGAACGTTGGTTTGGATTAGAAATTGAACTGACTAATCCAAGGCTAATCAGTTTAAATCACTGATCTACTATTAACTCAGCTTGAATGCATTCCTCACTAGATTCTGGGAACTTGCTGCATGTTTTGAACCTATTTATGTTGAATTTGAACAACCTAAAACATACATCGAAATGCTCAGAAGTGTGGATTATAAAACTATTAATTTAGAAATATGAAATTACTAACAGCTGAGTCAGATTATATTAATTCTGTTGTAAAGGAATATGCAATAGAAAGGGGACAAATGCTAGCCTGGATGCCAGCCCGAACTCCGCCCACAACATTTTTTGGTCGGGAAGTTCGGTCTGGACTCGATCCATTGAGGAGTAATTATGATCAGTCAAAAAATGATGGGGCCAATCAAATTGCCGAGGCGGGCTTTATACGATGATGGACAGATGATCTGCAGGGACGTAATCATCACGTTATCAAAGAGCGCTTGTCAAAGATGACTGCAGGTGAAGAATTGAGATGCATAGATTCCGCTGTCGCGTTTTTTGTAAAATATATCGACAGCGCATTCATTTTAATAGACAAACAGAGAATTGCAATCAAGGCATTTGTCGATCGGAAAGATATTTTTGGTGTCCTTCCAACATGATTTGGGAAAAGTGTAACTTATCAGCTGGCTCTGACGGTCGTTAAGAAGATGGGACGTAATGAAAAGACTGTGGTCGTTGTTGTTTCTCCTTTGGTGGCACTCATGGAGAAGTAAGTAAAGAAGCAACACTCGTTATTTAACTTCTAAAATAAATAAAGTTAGGCTACGTTTTGTATTTGAAAACTGCGCTATGCAAAGGCGTTGACTTATGCGTTGCTAAGATTGGTTGTAGGTCTGTCCGACTATCCAATTGAGTGCAGAGGTTTTTTTTTTTTTCCTGTTTCGGTTACGACACGCCTCATAATCAAAGCCCAACGGAGGAGTTTCAGACTCATATTCTCTCTTGAATATGAGTATGACGAAGTCAGGCTAGACAAATGCGCTACACTGTAAAAAAAAAAATTATGATTTGTTATCATAATGTTTCTTCGTCTGTCAAATCAACTTACATAATTTATGTGGTTCAGATAACATAATATTTTGAGTTTCTGATTATTAAATCAATCTCCTTCATTGTATTAACTACATTTTTCATTTTCAATGAACTTAAAGTCTTAAGGCAACCACTTAATTTTTTTAGTTAAACCAACAATATTTTTTACAGTGTATCATTCAAGTTCTATCAAACCATTCAAACATGATAAGATACAAAAACTTTTTTAAAAAATCTGTACTGACACGTTGTCTGTGAATTTCCTGTGAATGTGTGACAGACAAACACACATAGAAAGCCTCTCCACACACCAATGTAGGGCTACCCTGCTTCCCTCGGATGAGCACACAGAGTGCATCGCTTACTAACTCCAGTTCGCACACACAAATATTCGAGTCAAAGTACAAGCTCTGTTAGCGAAGGGCGCTGCAGCGAGTTCTCATGGCCTGCAGCGAGTCAGGCTTTTACAGCTGCTACTTCCTCATTCCAAAAGAAGGATGGCGGCCTCAGGCGCTTTGATAAGACTTGCAGATTTTCCCAGGGGATTGTTTTTTATTAGTGGATCTGAAGGACACATACTTTCATATCCAGATAGTCCTTCATCACAGACCATTCTTGAAATTCATGTTTGAAGGGGACTCTGGGTCCTGACTTGAGCCCATCTTGTTGGACAAACCTTCTGTGTTGAATGAAGGTGTCGTGCCAAACTCCTGAGGTTGTCCTTGATTCTGTTGTGGTTGAGAGAGTCCTCTCTCTCCTGAATGAGCACATGGCTGGGTATGAGTCAAGGCCTGCTGCCCTGGGGTCTGGGGTCAGGTGCAAACCGAACGTACTGAAGGAGAGAAGGCCAAGAGAAGGAAGGGCTTGTCGACAGGCCATTTTTAAAGCTTGACAAAGGTCACACCTTTCAGGGTTACCTCAACCATAAAGAAAGGGGAAATTTCTAAGCAGGAGATACATATGTGGGGAGGAATTATGACGATATCTCAAGTGTGGTTAGACAAATGCCTTCCCTTTTGTCTCAATTAATGCTCAGCTATATATATCAAACACACACAGCATTCTAAGAGAAGGTGATGTACATTAAAGTGTGGATAGGAGACATGATACAGCTGGGGTTACATTTACCTTTGGTTATACATACCCTGGTATCAAATACATAATATATAAAATACAAGACTGAAAATCATTCACACAGTTTCTGGGATGCATGTTTATTTATAGATCAGTTTGTCTATGATTAATGCAGCAAAGTCTGTATTAAAGGCCGTTTCTGTCTTCCCCCATCGTCTCTCTCATGTGGCCACATTTTTAACAGCAATAAAACCAACTTATCTGATCATGGTCATGTTAACTAAAATCTTTTTTGCCTTTTTGGGGGGATGGGACCACAGATCCCAGAGTGAGGTAAAATATGTTTACTTACTTTGCTTAATTTGTTTACTATAATTCTCATCCCAAGATGTCATCTAACTGACGCTTTTGACCATATGTCAACATCCAACCTTTTAGGGTACCCTTTAACGTCAGTTAGTTGACGATCCTAGGGCATCATCCAACTGACGCTTTACCTTTAGCGTCAGTTAGATGACGCAGGTAGATTTAGGTCTGGTGTAGGGTTAGGATTAGATAACGTCATCTAACTGACGTTAAAGTGTACCCTAAAACGTCGGATGTTGATGTATGGTCAAAAGTATCAGTTAGATGACGTCTTGGGATGAGAACGGGCTGATTATTTACCACCACGGTACACCACATGTACCAATGGTGGTACACGCCACGTCTGATTTGTCTCAGTCGTTACAATTCTCATAAGACTGTTATTTTACAATATATCCTAGTAAAACTAGGTAATATAATAATAGTAGTATGGCCAATGGTGGTACACACCAATGTTTTGTGATAAGATCAAATGCAGTGCATGACCCATATTAAATAAAATATTCATTGTTTCACGGAAAAAAAATCTACTTCTTACTTTTAAAAATGTACCGTTACTAGATGAGTGCATTATTGAAAGGTAGAGAGAAAAAGAGAGCAGGAAGGACAGATTGGGGAAGAATATATTGCAATGTAGTATGAAACTGGCTAACTTCCTCATATGCTGTCAAGTTTTTTTTTAATCTTTAACCTCTACTGTGGCAAATAACAGTCAAGAGGTGTTTCCAGAAGGCTCTGGAGGCTGGCTGTTTGACACTGACAGAAGATTTACACATGAACTGACAAGCTGACATCACATCATCTTCAGCTCTCTTTAAACCTACAGTGAATGGATGAACTGCTTCTGTTACATCAAACTGTCTGTCTGCCGTCTGCTGAAGTACTATTGATATTCAGTATTATATTGATAGGGTAAAAGGGTAAGTATCTGCAATATGTTTTTTTCTTTGGAATCATTCAAAATAGTTGTTTCAGTATTATTTTGCAGAATAATCCTTTAAATAAAAGTTATACGAAGTTACATATTATTTTGTAAAAAAAAAAAAAAAAACGTTATTGCAATATATATGTAATATATATGTAGTCTGTTTTACAAATAATAGGTACAGGCTGGCTACCTTGACCACAATTTGATTTAATTTGTGCTTCCTTTTAAAATTGAAAGGTGTTTAGAAGAGTTACTAGGGAAGTGTTTTGAAACTTCTGCTAATATTACAGTGTGAATGAACTGCTAAGTTCAGCTCATTTAAAACACCACAGAAGGCCAGATCTTCAATTCATTCATCACCTTTACAGGTATGAAATGAACAGGCTATTGGATGTACCAACATGTATTTCAAAATTGTAGAAGATCAACATTGATAAAAAGAAATGTGATGAATATATCTCTTTTTCAGGGCAAAACGTTTAACCAGGAAAAGAATTGAAAAAGGTAAGTTTGTTCTATTTCACCCTAAATTGCATAACAATACAATTACTAAGATTATTTTCTCTGACTCTTTGTTTAAATATGTTTAGTATTATTTTTTTCTTTTCTTTTTTTTACTTTTTGAGAGCAAGTAAATCCAAAAATGACTCTTTTTCAAAGCAGTGTCAGACATGATCATAAACAACAACAACAACACAAACCACACTGGCCTGCCGGAGGACTTCAGAATTGCTCTTCTGGTCTTATACACATTCATCTTTCTTTCTGGGACTCTTAATGTTTTACTAATATCCTGTATGCTACAGTCACAAAGACGTCTATCTTTCACCAAAGTGTCTGTGATAAACCTAATAGCAGTGCACTCCATTTTCCTTCTCACGGTGCCCTTTCGCATTTACTATTATGCTTTTAATGAAGCCTGGATTCTGGGCATGTATTTCTGCAAAATTGTCAGTCTTATGGTCCATGCTCACATGTATCTCGCATTCATCTTTTATGCCTTTCTTCTTATTGTGCGTTATGTGGAGCAATCTGATACACAGCACAGGCTAGAGTTTCATCGTATCCTTCATGCTACGATCGCAAGTGCAATCGTTTGGTTGGTCATATTTGGCTCTATGTTCCCAGTAACTATGGCTAAATACGGAATCGCACAGAATGATTCCACTCAGTGCTTTCAATTCGGTCAGGCTCTCCATAAGCCTGCTGTGAAGACGTTAAACTATGTTATTTGCATTGTAGTGATACTGGGTTGGAGTCTGCTGGCATTGTTCCAAGTTTACTTCCTGCTATATGTGAGAAAGAGATTTGGAAAGGCCATGTGTCAACATCAACAGTTCTGGGCACAATTGAAAAACATTGTATTCCTGTCCATTATGTTTTTTTGTTTTGTGCCCTATCAAGGATTCAGATTATATTATGTGAGTGTATATGGCAATACTGAAAAACTTTCTCATATAAATGAAATTTTTCTAGCTGTCACTGCTTTCAGTTGCTTTGATATGATTATTTTTGCTGGTAGAGATATATGCAAACGTATTAATTCAAGGGGATGGTGTTGCGGTTTATAAGAACTATGTTTACTTTATCTAGTTTCTATATTGTTATTGATTTAGTGAATTTACTTTCATTTTATTTTATTTGTTTTTGATGTGTTTATGCCTTATAACAGGGGTTCCCATTCCCAACCTTTTTTGTGCCAGGGCATAAAATTGTCATTTTTAATTGGCTTTATGCCCAGCTGCACTACTTCCTGAACTTCAGCCAGCTCCTTGTTTCCTGTCTGCCATTATTGGTCAAATTGATTAATTCAGGTGTGCTTGACCTCAGTAGTCATGGCAACAATAATCAGACACACCTGAATTAATCAATTTGGCCAATAATGGCACACAGGAAACAAGGAGCTGGCTGAAGTTCAGGAAGTAGTGCAGCTGGGCATAAAGCCCATTTTAAGATGCATCGTTTTGAAACAAGATATGACGCCCTTGCTGCAGTATTTCACCACAACGATCACACAATGGATTTGGCGCTACGGAATCGTCTGTTGCCGTAAATCCATACTTAATATGAGGCATTATTTACAATTAAAGCTCGACTTGCTTTTCCTTTTTTCTCTGGTCTGGGGACCGATGGTTGGGAATTGCTGCCTTATAAGCTTAAAACTATTGTCTTGCAAGTCAGAATGATTGGAAAATAAACTATATACTGTATATGTATTGAATGAAGCAACATTCATGTGTGTTTAGTTTTATGTTTTTTTTTTTTTTTTTTTTACTTGTGGAGAACTGAGTCTGGAATAAAACTGTTAAATAGAGTGATAAGGTTTGGGTGTGAGTTCCTCATATATCTAGTGTTAACCATAAAGTTTACAACAGATCCATCACTGTTTAGTGAAGGCCATGGCTTTAATGTGTCACACAAAGATTAATAAAAGAAAAGAAAGTAAAAGTTGCCACACCACAGCTTCAGACAGCAAAATATTTAGGCCCATTTAATGTTCTCTACACATGTGACGTTTCGAGCCCATTGGCTCATCATCAGACAATGACTCACCCATTTGGCTCGAAACTTCACCTGTGGTTTTCTATGTTTGGAGCTGTGATGTGCTATTTTTTTTCCTTTTCTAAAAATGTGTTATTGCTTGAGCACACTCTGGACCTATTGCCAGTTTGATGTGCGCACTTTGTGTTGAATCTTTGTAAATAAAATAACACCATTAAATAAGTCAAAGTAATAGGCTATGTGTGTTGCGAATAGCCAGACCCAGGGTTGTTAAGAGTCCAACCACGTGTGTAGTCGGTTGGTGACTAAAAATTACATCCCTGCACTAAACACTTGGCAAACCCAGAAGCCACTTCCAGTAAACATGTTTAATTATACATACTGTCATACCATAAAAACATTATCATGACCGATCATCAGCACCCAATATAAATTGCAACACAGCAGATATGGTCTCTCTTAGCACCCTGGTGGCTAGTGGTCAACGAAAATAAATATTTGTCTTCTCATAAAAAAAAGCTTGCAACATAACACAAATTAATGTAAAACAAACCATCACCATAACACCCCTGTATTGTTGTAATGGTTTTTTAAAGGCATGCAGAACTTTATAGTGTTGCACACTTGAAACAGACTCGGTCTTCTCTTTCACAACATTATTTTGCCAGTTCCGTTGGAATTATTTTTTTTTATACACGAAGCAACACATCTTCACACGGCAGCAATATAGCCTATATCACTTCACTTGGCTCGAGCTCTCCACAACGCTACCGCGCTGGCTCAATGACATAATCCTAACTGAACTTTCACCTTTCAGGAACATCAATCTTTAGAATAATATCCAGAATATTTATCAAATGAAATTACCATGAAATTATAGTGATTTCCCTTACATTATTCTAAACAGTCCCAACAATAGCCTGTAACTTTTAAATAGACTGGAAAATGATGGAAATTGAATTATTTAGCATGGTTTAAATCATATTTATCTGACCGTTATCAGTTTGTAACAGTAAATGAAGAAACTTATCGATCAACAAATTCAGTATGGGGTACCACACTTCTAGTACTAGGACCGTTGCTGTTGTTCTTGGGAGATTTCATTAGGAAGCATTAGATTAGTTTTCTCTGTCATACCGATGATGCCCAGATGAAACTTTTCAATTCAAGAAATTAACGGAATGCATAGCTGATATAAACATTTGGAAGACTAATTTTCTATTACTTAATTCTGAAAAAACAGACTGGCACCCACCCCAACGAAGTGGAAGTGCAAATCAGAAGTGGAAAATGTTTGTCAAAAACTTACATTTACACACAAACTGACTAGAAACCGTCATTTTCATACGCCATCTTCTCAAGCTCAAATGTCACAGAATGGAACACATAGGATTGTGGGATCTCAAAAGTAGCGAAGGATACTATGCTGCCTTATAAAATCGATGAGATGAAGGCATCTCAGGAGACAGAAAGTGAAGCTAACATTGGATTCGGAATGAAGGTGGGTTATTAGATGAAGACAGGATTGATGCTTTCTTTCCTTGGAATCCAAGGAATTTTTACGTTTTCGAATGCAGCCTTCTTGATCTCCTCCACGCTCTCTAATATCCCGCCTTCATTAACTGAAAATTAATCGATAACGTATTGTGATTGGATGGTAAGTTTGTTCTTCAAAATATGACGAGATTGGCAACCTTTGGCTATTCTCGCGTGACAGATAACTGCTAGTCGACTCGCTTATATGATTACCTAGCAAGGAAATTTTAGGAAAGAAGAAATACGGGACATGATTTTTTTTTTTCATAATAAATCGGGACACTAAAAAAAAGCTAAAATACAGAACTATCCCGGGAAAACGGGAAGTCTAGTCACCCTATCTGGATAACAGCTTACAACACCCTGTCTAATTCATTTAATGATATGATAATATTCCTGATAGGCTATTTCTTCAATGAATTGATGATATTCTATTAAAGGGTTAGTTCACCCAAAAATGAAAATGAAGTCATTAATTACTCACCCCCATGCTGTACCAACCCCGTAAGACCTTCGTTCATCTTTGGAACACAAATGAAGATATTTTTGATTAAATTTGAGAGCTGTCTCACTACCACATTGGCTGCCTAGGGACTGGCTCTTGACGGCCCAGAAAGTCAATGAAGAAAATGTTTAAATATCCCAAGTGACTACCGTGGCTCAACTATAAGTTTATCAAGCGACAAGAATACTTTTTGTGCGAAAAAACAAACAAAAATAACGACTTTATTCGACTATTCCTTTTCTTCCTTGTTGGCCTGAAACAAGACTTCCTTAGATTTCCACGACGCATGCGCGAGAATTGCGATCTCCTTCAACTACTTCAGTTCAGTTCTCGCACATGCGTCGTGGAAATCTAAGGAAGTCTTGTTTCAGGCCAACAAGGAAGAAAAGGAATAGTCGAATAAAGACGTTATTTTTGTTTTGTTTTTCGCACAAAAGTATTCTCGTCGCTTGATAAACTTATAGTTGAGCCGCTGTAGGCACATGGGATATTTAAACATTTTCTTCATTGACTTTCTGGGCCGTCAAGAGGCAGTCCTTTAGGAGCCAATGTGGTAGTTATACAGCTCTCAAATTTAATCAAAAATATCTTCATTTGTGTTCCGAAGACGAACGAAGGTCTTACGGGGTTGGTACAGCATGGGGGTGAGTAATTAATGACTTAATTTTCATTTTTGGGTGAACTAACCCTTTAACATAAAGCTTTAATAAATGGAATATGCAACTATTTCATATCTGAATATGAAACGTTTTCTCTAAAACTTTCCCTACATTGACAGATGCCCCAATGCTCTCAGAGGGCTTTTCCCATGGTGATTATTACATTATCTGTGGTGTTCTTTCGGCATGCCTAATAAATCTATCGAACGTCTCTGATGGACATGATTTTTCCCTAAAATACTGGAAGATGCAGTATATCTAGGAAGTCACATTTCATGCACATTGATGCCCCTGAATTGCCTTAAAATATGTTGTAAAACATCTACTTGTATCAATAAATGATGGGAAATTAATTTAAGTATGACATGGGCTTACTGTTTGTCACAATGTTTTCAACTCAGTCCTACTGCAGACAACACCACAGTCATCTGCCTCAACCAGGATGGTGATGAGTCTGCATACAGACAAGAGGTAGAGCAGCTGGGTGTCTGGTGTAGTCATAACAACCAGGAGCTGAAAATGCTCAAAACAGTGGACTTCAGGAGGAACACCCCAGCACTCCCTCCACTTAGGTTTCTGTACCACCATCTCTCAGGACCTGATGTGGGGCAATCACATTGTCTCGATTGTAAAAAATAATAATAATAATAAAAAAAGCAGCAGCTGACACAGTTCTACTGCAGGACAGACTCAATCCGTCATTGAGTCTGTCCTGCAATTCCCTTATTACTAACACCGGCCACAACTTATTTGAACTGTTGCAGTCTGGATGGCGCCTCAGATTACAGGAACTACTAGAACATCTAGGCACAAGAACAGTTTCTTCCCACTGGCTATTTCCCTCTTGGAACAGCTAAACACCTTCCAAGTGCAATACCCCACTTTTCTGTGCAGTATCCTTATAAAAAGACACATTTATTCATATTAATTCACAATGTATGTTCATTGTCTGTAAATGTTTATTCTGACTAAACCTGTCTTTTTTTACTTAAATGTTATTATATGCCTTGTTATATTTATATTTGTGTCCTGGAAGCTTCAATACCAAGATAAAGTCCCTGAGTATGCAAGCACACATGGCAATCTTATTCTGAACAATTTGTGTGGTTCTAGCCTTTTTTATTTATTATTATTATTATTTTAGCTAATAACAAGTCTAATGGAGATCCATATTATTTTGTGTCATTTCATTGCTTTTATAAATAAAATCATAGCTTTATTTTGCTGGTTTTGCTAGCTTCTAGGTCTGGAGGTCCCAGAATTATTATTATTGTTATTTTGCAGTGGCATTATGAAGCCAACATGCATTGGATTATGAATATGACTATGATTCTGATTGTGTATCCAAACAGAACATTCATATTCAAATGACAAATTGTAATGGAATTGGAGCTAATTGATTAAGGAACTAAGTCTGTGCCTTTTCATCCTCTTCAACTCAACATTCACTGGAGTGAATGAATGCCTGTGTCCACTGCTCCAGAGCGGAAGTACCCCGTCCAGACACGCTGTCTCTCTCTGTGTTGCTTTGGCTGATGGCAGGCAGAA